CCTGAGGCACCAGCGCCCGCGCCGCCGCGGGCCGCTGGCGACTGGGGCCGTATGGCTGCTCCCCCGCGCGGCGCGCCCCCGCGCGCGTGGGAGGGAGCCCCAAACGGCGCCTGGAGGAGGAGGAGGAGGGGGAGGAGGAGGAGGAGGAGGAGGAGGAGGAGGAGGAGGAGGAGGAGGAGGAGGAGGAGAAGGAGGAGGAGGACGAGGAGGACGAGGAGGACGGGTCCGGGTCGCCTAAGCCGAGCTGAGGGTGGACAACCGGTCCTGGGGAATGTGTCGAGGCCCCTTTGGGGTCCACGTCGTGGAGCACTCATGGCGCGTGGGAGGGCTTGGGCGGCGGCCCCATAGCGGCGCGCTGCGCGCGGGGCGCGCCAAAAAAAACACCCTACCTTCCAGGGTCGAAAGGGCGGTCAGCTCTTCCGGGGGTGTCCTCCTACAAGCGGATTCTGGACGAAAAACCAAACATAGTTGTAACAATGCAAAAACAGGCAAATCGTTTCCCGCTTATTTTGGTTGGTCTATGTTTGAATATTCCTCCTGTAGAGGGACAAGCCCGACTTAACTCTTCCGCGGCGGAAGGTCGGCGGAAGGTCGGCGGAAGTAAAATGAGGCCGCCTCCGCCAGCGGAAGCCGGCGGAAGGCAGTGGACGTAAAAAATGCGCCCCCGAGAATGAAAACGTCATTTGGATCAGAGTTTCCGATATTCGCCGCATATGCCCTGCAAGCGGGTGGTAGGGCGCGTTGCCCCGCTCCGCGCGGGGCGGGAGGCTGGGAACAGCTCGGGACGCTCACGCTTGCGAAGGGGGGCGTGGACCCATACCCCCTCGGGACATTAAAAAATCCGCCGGCCCTTTGTGGGTCTCTAAGCGTGTGAAATTTTTCCCCCCCCAACCCCCCCCAAGGACCCCAAACCGGCAATTTGACCTCCCCCCCCGTGGCCCCGGACGACCCACCCCCGAACTCACCCAGAGGGGCCCGGGTGTCCCGGGGTACCTTTGGAGCGCCAATACAACCATTGAGTCCTCCCAAAAGACCCTCCACAGCCCAAGGGGGCCCCCAATCGCCGACATACCGTTCCAAGGTGCCCAAGATGGCGCCCACACGGCCCAACATGCCTCCAAAAAGCACCGAAACCCTCCAACTGTCTCTTCCAGAGGGGCCAAACAACAAAATAGTCACATGCCTTTAGGGAAACGTAATTTTCTTTAACGCATTCGTCCACGACGGCCCCACAAACCACCAAAACGGCTCGAAAACAGCCCAAGAGAGCCCCAAGACGGCCACAAATGCTTCAACACGGCCCAAGAGGCCCCAACGACGGCTCCGAAACAACCCAAGAGAACCCCAAGACGGCCAAAAAAACACACAATTTGTCAAAAGGGCTCCAGGACATCGGAGATTCTGAGCCGTTGGCCCCAAGACGCCCCCAGGTTGCCCCAAGAAGCCCCGAGAGGCCCCAATGGGCCCCCAACGGACCCCAGCCAAGCCCCAAAACGCCACTCAGAGCTCCCCAGGAGGCCTCCAAGAGGCCCATGAACTGGCTACAAAACGCCTCTGACAGCCCTCGCACGAGACCCCCCGCCTCTGCCTCTATTCTTCGCGTCCTATCATTCGACTCGCGCGTCGACCCGTCGCGCTCCTCCGCGCATTTCCGACACACACCCCGCCCGCTGCGGCGCGCCTCTTCTGAGCTTCCGACATGAACGCCTTTTCGTCGTACAGCGACAGGCACTGGTCTTTCATGCATCGCGCTGTGCCGACGCCCTCGTTCCACTTCGCATTACCGCTCCGCGACTTCTCCTTGGCTTTGACATCGCTGCACTTCGCGCAGCACATTGTCCGAATGCTTGTTGGCACGCCCTGGTCGGCCATTACATCCGCGCTCCGACCGGTAACATGCCGCGTCGCATCGTCATCCTCCGATTTCGTTGCCCACCCTCTGCACCTTGTGCACCATGTCTCGTCCGCGTTGTTCATCTCTTCCGTGCATTATTTGCAAAACGCCGGCTTTTCCTTCCTCTGGAATTCGTACTTCGTGAGCGCCTCTACCAGCCAATTCCGCCAGCAGCGCTCGCACTGATCTTGCAACAGAAGTTCCGCCTCCCACTTCTCCCCAATCCACGCTCTTCCCTCGTAGCACGCGCACCAGTTTTCCCGCGCAAGACATCTCACCCTCGTTGTACGGTTTCCTATCAAAAGGCCGGAAGATCAAAAGGTTTTCTCTCGCCTGCGCACCCGCGTGATGGCAACGTAACTCGACATCCAACTCACGCCGCGCCCTCCGGCCCTGCGCGGAGTGCGCCGTCACGGCCAAAGACGGGGTTATCATAAACTGGGTGCGTTTCGCACGCTAAACAACCGGATGCTTCCGATACCCGTCCAAGAACAATTGCCGCCCTTTCGATGGGAAGATCGGATACATACCCGGTTTCCAGCTTGGCAGGTGCCACTCCTTCGTATGAAATTCCAGAGGCGCTTCCCGTCATCCGCCAAACCCCTGTGGGTCTTTAGGCGTGTAAGACTGCTTCCCCCCCAGATTACCCCCATTGGACCTCCTCATGGACGGATACAGAGCTCCGCGACAGTCGAAAAGGTCCCCAAAACTGTCCAAGAAGGACACGAATCGCCAACCACGGCCTGAAGGTGGCCCCCAAAACCCCCAACACAACCCTAAACCCACCCTCCCGCTTTCATCTGCACCACCATCACCCTGGACGCCCCCACAAACCATAGGAAAGCAATCTACACTCAAGGGGGGTCGGCGGATGTGGCGTAAGCCTATAAAATCCACGTCCGGAAGTGACGTGTTGCCGGAGGCAGGTCGCGCAGCGGAGCGGAAGCCCTAATGCAATGGATTCTACATGTCCAATGCTTGCATAATTGCCACGTATTGTATTGTATTACATTATTATGTCTCCCCCCCTAACCCCTCCCCGCGCCACGCCACATCCGTCGACCAAAGATGGTGAACCCCTTCTGGGCCCCAAAACCTACAAAAACCTATAAGAAATCAACAAATTCGGCCTCTTGGGCCTCTTGGGGCCTCAAAAAGGTTTCAAGACGGCCCAAGATGGCCCCAAGACAGCCCAAGACGGCCTCAAGACGGCCCAAGATGGCCCCAAGAGGGCCCATGAGGCCCCCTAAAAAGTCCAAGAGGCCCCCAAGAAGACTCCCGAGAGCGCCTCCGGAGGCCAAAACCTTTGATTTTCCACGAGTTTTTGGACAGCATCAAATGTCTCGCCTTTTTCGGCTCTCAGAAAGCCATGACGGCCCAAGCAGCCTCCGAGAAGGCCCCCAAACGGCCCAAGAGGCCTCCAAGGGGGCCCCATGACGGCCCAAGAGGGCCCCGAGACTGACAAAAAAGGTTCCAAGACGGCCCAAGAAACCCCCAAGACGGCCCCAGAGGACCCCAAGAGAACCCCAAGGCGGCCGCGAGAGGCCCCCAAGACGGCCTCCGAAGGGGCGGAACGGCGCAAAAGCGCCCCAAGACGGCCCAAGACGCCCCCAAGAGGCCACGAGAGGCCCCCAAGAGGCCCCCAAGGGGCCCCCAAAAAAACCCAAGAGGCCTCCAAGAAGTCCCCAAGAAGCCTCCAAGAGGCCTCAAAGAAGCCCCCACAAGGCCACACAACGACTGGAGTGTAATGTTATTTTTCTCCCCCTGGGCGAACTGCGGCGCAGCGCCAGCCAGGTGGAAGTTGGTCACGGCGGGGCCCATGATTAGAGCCGGCGCCGGAAGGGAAGATGGGGAGATAGTATGAAAAGGAAGGGGGGAGAGGCCCCAAAGAAGTCCCCAAGAGGCCCAAAGAAGCTCCCAAGAGGCCTCCAGGAGGCCCCCAGGAGGCTCCCAAGAGGCCCCGCGACGACGTGACTGTACGTGCTCCGGACGTGCACCCCGCGAAGCGAGGAGAATCATGACGGTCGGTTTTTCGCCAGTTTCGGCATCTGGGTACCCTTACCGGCCCGTTGCTAGATCTACGAACAGTATACGCACGTTTCGTAGATACGACGAACATATGACTTCTGGGGTACATCAATTCTGTAGTCGATCCACTACTCGATAAGCGGATCGGAGGAGGGGAACAAAAATGGCATTGACAGAGACGTTCGACGGTCCGCGCGGCTTTCTTGGGTCTGCGCCAGGGGCCGCGCTGAAGGTGCCACCATGGGTGGGCCAGTGTAGATCCAAGACCCCCGACATCATGTTTGTTGTCCAGAAGCGTTTGACCGTCCCGACGCCAGGGAAGGGCCCCCAGAGGCCGAAAGCAAAGAGAAAAACATGGCCGCCGTGATATTGTTGTTTTTATTCGTGACTCGACGGAGCCTCGGCTCCAGGAACTCTGCGCGGAGCTCCGACAATTGAAGCTCTGGTTCTGCTTTGTCAGAGGCCTCGTAGATGGGGTCGGAGTAGATGGTGTCGGAAGATCGTGCCGCATCGCCGATACATCGGCAATGCATCGGCGATGCATCGGTGATGCACCAGCGATGCATCGTCGACGTCGACGGTGCATCGGCGACGCTGGCGCGGAGAAAATCGGGCTCCGCATCGAGCCGCATTGCCGATGCATCGGCGATGCGACGCGATCCTCCGACCCCATCTACTCGGACCCCATCTAGGAGGCCTGGATTTAGGTCGGGCATGTCCTCCTACAGGCGGATCCTGAAAGAAAAACAGCAATGATCCACGAATGCCAGAAATGGCCAGAACTAGTCAAACAACTCGTCCCCGGACTATTTCCTGACCACTCTGGAACATTCCTCCTGCAGAGGGGCACGCCCGACTGAATCGGGCCGGGCGAAAGGAGGGGATAGCAAAGGGGAGGTTTGAGAATCAGCTCGCGTAGCTGATTTTCCTGGCGCCTCCCGACGCCGGAGGCGGCTATATGTATCGAGGAATGGGCCCCTCGGCGGGGCCGAAAACAGCTGCATGCAGCAGATTTCGTAACCCCCCCTCTCCCAATCCCCCCCTTTCGTCCGGCTCGACTGAAGCCTAGAGGTGTCTCCTCGCCACGACCGCCGCCAGGGCCGGGGCCGACGCCGGGGAAGTCACCGCTCGAGGCAGCCGTTGCCAGGGCCGCCGCCGCAGCCCTGGCCGGCGCCCCGGGCGTCTGGCCCGGGCTGTGCCCGGGGTGCTCGTCGCCGCTGTCCGAGTCCAACTGCGGGGGGGGGGGGGGCAGGGGCCAGACGCCCGCGGGCCATGAAGAAATCAGGGCGGGGAGTGTTTTTGTTGTGGTTTTGCTAGTTTCGGCCTCTGGGAGCCTCGCCGGCCCTCGAAGTCATCGAAGAACGAGTGGTGATGAAGAGCCGGTCCCGGGGAATGGGTCGAGACCTCTGAGGGTCGACGTCACGAACAAAATCCTGACGTCGGGGGTCGGGGGGGGCGGGCCTGGAGATCCAGGCGCTACTTATTGTGGGGCCCGGGGCCATAACGGGGTCACCGGGCTCGACAGATGCAGCTGAAAGATGGGGTCTACAGTCGGGGCTGCTTGGAGAGGACACGCGAGAGGATACAGGACCCTTCCGAGTGTCATTTTGCCATAGACATGTAAAAGGCACAGGTCGCGAAACACAGGACACGAGGATACCCTTGATGTGGCAGGGTCGACCTACTAATCAACCTCAACTGTAGGGTTCCTGTCATGGCTTCTGAAAAGATTGACTGGTGCGCGTTTTCTTATTCGGCATTTCGACGCTGGGCGAAAAGAGGGGGGAGGGGGGGTCTGGCTCCGGACCTCTGCTTAGTGCGACTGTTTGGGACCGTGCGTCCTGTGGAAGAGACTCCACCTGCCTGGAACAGGCGCCCCACAACAGCCAAGATCCACTCCAGGGGGGGGGGGGGGGGGGGGGGGGGGGGCGAGGGCCCGCGCCGATGGGCAAAACAACGCATAAAAAAACGATCGCTTGCCTGCGAGGGTTCTATGTGATGTTCCTATCGCCCGCTGGGGGCCCCGAGATCAGTGGACAACCGCGGCCCCCCACGTGAACTGTGCGAAGCTGCTCCTGCGAGCCTGCTGCTGCCAGGGGCCTCCCGGCGGCAAAGGGATCCGGTCGCGTGGAGGAGGAGGCGGAGGAGGAGGAGGAGAAGGAGGAGAAGGAGGAGAAGGCGGAGGGGGAGGTGGAGGAGGAGGAGGAGGAGGAGGAGGAGGAGGAGGAGGAGGAGGAGGGAGGAGGAGGAGGAGGAGGAGGAGGAGGCGGAGGAGGAGGAGCGACAACCTGCCCACAGAGAAAGGGCCGCTCAGTGTGCCGCACCGCGGTGCCCTCCAGGCCTGCATTTCCACGAGAGCACCCAGGCCAAGCTTCTGGGGCAGACCCAGCCGCTCACGACGGGGTTCCGAGCCCCCTTGCGGAGGCCGAAACACGGAGCGGGGAGCGATGGAGGCGCACTGGCAGCGAGACCTCCGACGCGGTGATTTCCTTCGCAGCGTTGGCCCCTGGAGGTCTCAGGAGACGAGGCTGAGCTGGGGCAGGTCCAGACTTGCCCCGGACGAAAGTGGTGCGCGATGTTGAAAGGCTTGCCACGCCTTCGGCGCCATCGGCTTCACGAAGCAAGAAATGCGCCGTGGTGGATATGACACCCCATCGCATCTGTGGCCCCCGTGGCCACTTGTGCGCATGGGCGTACCCCGAGGGGCCAGCCTGGGGGTGCCGGCAACCCCGCGCATGGTCCGTGGGCTCCACGGGCCTTCGGCGCCGAGTGCGTCACGCCAAGTGCATCGGGCGAGTCGCCGGCCAGTCGCCCGGCTCTGGCTAAAAATCTGAAGCCCAGGAATAGGGGATCACCCGAAGTTGAATCCCACCAGCCCTCTGGGCGTAGGTGATCTAGAGAGCTTCCTCTTTCAACTCCCTTCTTCCCCTTCGGGGAAGGGTTTATCACATTTCCCTTTTAATCTACACCCCCTCCCCCAGGCGACCGGTAGCCAACCAGGAACAATGAGGCCCCCATGAGGACCCACCCCTCCCACCATCCCTGTGGGGCGAAGTCTGGAGTCATGTTCGTGAGGCCCGCGAGCACCTTGTATTGTTTTTGACAGGGACGGCGGGGGTGTCAGCACATTGCCTGCTGCGCGCAGGGCTGCAATCCGTGACAAAACAACAATACAAAATGCACCTCGCGGCTACATCTGGATCATGCGCGGACATCCCGCGATCGCTACCAAGTGGTGGCGTACGGCCTGCTATGTCCAGGCCCACCAGACACAATGATGGGTATTGGTTTTCGATCTGGATGGTGGGGGCCGGCATGTTTCCCGATATGCGCTGTCACGTGCGCAGGCGCACCTGACACACTGTGCACGTGCCCCGAACGTGGCACACCAGGCGCGGGAGTATGCGACACACCTGGCGCACGCGGAGGCATGTGGCGCATCTGGCGCAGCAGGCGTGCCTGGCACGCTCGGGCCCCAAGGGTGCCCGGCGCCCGAAGCGCGCCTGGCACGCGTGGAGCACCTCGCCCCAGCGTCGCGCACATGGGCTCGGTTTTGGTTCCCAGTAGCTGCCCATCCAAAGACGACCGCTGAACATGCTGAGGCTCGGGTGTTACTTGTGTGGCGGGAGGGCGGGTGGGAGTGAGCTAGACGGCTTGCTATCCAGGAGGGTGTCTTGACTCCTCCCCCTGCCCCCTACCCTTGACCTGGACGGGGGGCTCCGCGGGCAGTTGGAGCGTCCAAGATGGCCCAAGATGGCTCCAACAGGGCCTCGGAGAGCCCAAGATGACTTCCAAGATGGGTCAAGAAAGCCCAAGATGCCTCAATATTGCTCCCAAGATACTCCAAGAGGCCCCAAGAACGCTCCAAGACGGCTCCAAGTGGCCAAACAGCTCCCCAGGGAGGCCAACATCCAACCAAAGCGTAAGGAAAAACAATAATGCTTGCATCGTTGCCAACTCGCTTTCGATAGCCTCCCGAGGCCTCAAGATGGCTCCAAGATGGCCCAAGAGGAAAAGCTTCCAAGAGACATCCGAGGAGACTCTGAGAGGCATTTCAAAAGCTTCTGGCTCTGCGGGGGACTCCTTCTGTTCCTCCTCCTCCTCCTGCTCCTCCTCATCAGTAAATTGATCATCCTTCTCCCTCCTCCCTAATAAATCCATCCTCTTCCTCCTCCTCCTCCCTCGAGCGATGACCGCTGCCCCCCTCTTTGCTCATACAATTCCCTGGTCGTCTCAACTCGCCTGGGCGTCGGTTTTGGATGGGCTGGTGGAGATACACCAGCCGTGACTGAAGAGTTCCACCAAAAAACAGACATTCCTGGACTTGGCCGAGATATCTATGAGGGGCAACCGACTAGCGGATTGTGGCACGCCCCGATTCCCAGACCCCCGACGTCATGATTCTTCATGGCGTCGACCCCCAGAGGTCCCGACCCATTCCTCAGGATCGGCTTTTCGTCCTGAGCCATTGTTGCACGGTCCCGAGGGCCCGTGAGGGCCCCCAGGGGCCGAAAACAGCTGACTATCCCAGTGCGACCCTACCTAGGAATTGGAGCCCCTAGGAAAGCAGCATGAGCTAAGCTAAGCTAAGCTAAGATGAGATAAGCTAAGCTAAGCTAAGCTAAGCTAAGCTAAGCCAAGCTAAGCTAAGCTAGGCTAGGCTAGGCTAGGCTAGGCTAGCTAAGGTAAGGTAAGGTAAGCTAAGCTAAGCTAGGCTGAGTTAAGCTAGGCGAAACTAAGCTAAGCTGAGATAAGCTAAGCTAAGCTAAGCTAAGTTGGGCTAAACTAAGCTAGGCTAGGCTCGTCTAAGATAAGCCAAGATGAGATAAGCTAAGCTAAGCTAAGCTAAGCTAAGCTAAGCTAAGCTAAGCTAAGCTAAGCTAAGCTAAGCTAAGCGGGGCGGATGCCGGGGGAACCGCGGGGCGGATCCTGGGGGAACCGCCCGGGGCGAGTTCCACTGCCCGGCCCTTTAAGAGAACAGGGTAAGAACCCTCTAGGCAGAGCCTAGGTAGGGAAAAACCTCCCGGCGCGATTTTTGTTATTGAAGGGGCCCCAGGACACACAAATAAATACACACAAATATAAACATATCCCCAATATTTTCCGATATTTTCTGGGTTCTGTCTTCGCCCCAACTTCCCATATTTTCCCATATTTTCTAAGGAATCGACGATTAATTGTGTCTGTGTGCTTCTTCCCCTCCTGAGTGATAACCCGAGGGGGTCTGGGATCCCTAGCTCCGAGAGCATTTCGAATCTGCCCGTGGCGGCCGCCCTGCGCGGCGTCGCGCGCCCAGGGTGCGTGGGCAAAGACACCACAGGGGCGGCGCTGACCCCGGCCGCGACATCCTTGCCCCCCCGCGCCCTGGACGCGCCCGCGCACGAAAGCGCCAGCCTCGTGGGGGTCTTGCGTGCAAACAGCGCCCCCGCTGCCGATGCTCTCGTACAGAAGCACCGTTGCCCACTGCCCACAACGATCTCACGTAACGCCCACGTTTCCTTGGAGTCCCTCGCGCCCCTCGACTTGTGCGAAGGTGCGCGCAGCGCTCCGCAAAACGACAACGTGTTGGTCTCTGAAACTCTCTCAGACATCTCTGGGTGAGCGTTTTCTTTTCTGGCGACTCGACACTGTGAAGGGGCCCCAGGACACAAATAAATGCACACACATATAATCATTCCGCATATTTTCCCATATTTTCTGAGTTTCTGTCTTCCCCCCCACTGCCCATATTTTCCTATATTTTCTGGGGAATCGACGATTCATTGTGTCTGTGTTTTTTTTTCTCTCCTGACACTGGGCGGACGAGGGGGAGGGGGTGGGTTCTGGCTCCGGACCTCTGCTTCATGCGACGGTTTGCAGCAGTGCGTGCTATGGGGTTGACTCCATCTGCTCGAGAGAGGCGCCACAAACAGCCCAGGTCTACTCCATGAGGGGGGAGGGGGAGGGGGATGCGAGGGCCCGCGCCGATCGGCAAAAAAGTGGATAAGAAAACGAGCACCATCATCTCTGGCTCCGATGTTTGTCCCTGCCCTGTATTTGTCCGACCCTTCCCCTGAGGCAGGCTTTCTATCCCGAGCCAGTTCGGGACGGAACCCTTGGTCCAGCTTCCATCCCAGCTGTCTGTCCTTTCCCCTTGGACTTCTGTTGCTCCCATCGTACTTACAGACCGCACCCAAGAAATAATTTCGAGCACCCCGAAAAATATCGAAACAGTGTCGAACGAGTATTGCCTCCCAGGGCCCGACACGTGAAAACCCTCAAGTGCCGGTCCTTTCTTGGTGCTCGAAATTCTGTCTGGTGGTCAAGGCTAAAGTAGGTTGGAACATCATAACCTTGGACAGACTTCCACCCCGAGCCTTTCCATCCCGGCAGAAAACAGTCGTTGTCTGCTGGTTCTGGGGCCAGGCGGGGTCCAGACAGAAAAACCTCCCGCCGTGCCTGCTGCTAACATCCCGATGGGGGTCTCTGGGTGTCTCCTTCGAGGCCTCCAACCACGGGATCCGCGTAGACGGGGTCTGGGGATCGCGCCGCTTCCCCAACGCATCGCCCATACACTGGCGGCGTCGGCGATGTGGCGGCGTGGAGAAACTCTGGCTCCAGATCGAACCGCATCGTCGATACACCGCCGATGCGGAGCGAGCCTTCGACCCCCCCCCCTACTCGGACCCCGTCTGGAAGGCCTACCCAGATCTCCGACGTCACTTTTCTGTCACAACGTCGACCCCCAGAGTCGTCGACCCGTGGTCTCCGTGCTGCCGAGCCGTTTTCTGAAGGCCCCGAGGCCCGGCAAGGGCTCCCCGCAGCCGAACATGGCGACACATCTCCCGCCATGCCTTTTCTCATGACCCGACGGGGTCCGCCCTCCTCCTCCTCCTCCTCCTCCTCCTCCTCCTTGTCCTCCTCCTCCTCCCCCTCGTCCTCCCCCTCCTCCTCCTCCTCCTCCTCCTCCTCGTCTGCCCCAAGCGACCGCCGCGACCCGCGAGCGCACCCGCAGCACCCGCGCGGCCAGGGCCGCAGAGCCCTGCTCGGGCGCAGGTTCACACGGATTGATGATGATGATGATGATGAGGAGGAGGAGGAGGATGAGGATGAGGAGGATGATGATGATGACGAATAACGATGATGATGATTAAAAATGATAATGCTGATGATGATGATGATGATGATGATGATGATGCTGATGAGGATGATGGAAAATGATGATGATGACGATGATGATGATTAACAATGATGATGATGATGATGCTGATGATGATGATGATGATGATGATTAAAAATGATAATGCTGATGATGATGATGATGATGATGATGATACTGATGCTGATGATGGAAAATGATGATGATGATGATGATGATGATGATGATGATGACGATGATGATGCTGATGATGATGATGATGATGATGAGGAGGAGGAGGATGATGATGATGATTATGATCGCACTGCCTTGAAAGTCACGCATGCGTACTGGCAGGGCAGTACCTCAGTTCAGGATTGAAGAAGATGGTTTGCGTACAAGTTTATTCGGGCTCTTCTGGCTCGTGGGCCATCCCAGCCACTCTCGCGCGGAATCCTCCCCTAACTCGCCTTTCTGAATCTTGGTTCTCCCAGTCGCGGTGCCGTGGATCTGGTCCGTGGGCGCTAGATCCATGGATCGGGGAAGCTACCTCCAAGGCGTGAGGCCAATGCCGCCCTCGTTTGGCGGCGCACCGCGCCGATTTCGTATGGAAACGGGACCCGTCCCTGATCCACGCGCCTTCATTCATGTCTGCGCTTCTCTCCCTGCCATCAAACGGGGATGCGAAGTCCCTGAGACGGGAGGGGGTGGGCACAGGTTGGCACCATAGCTGACCCACAGCCAACAGAGGCATCAAAGCCTCTGAGCATCAGAGTGTTTACGCTGATCCTCTCACGGATTCATCATTCCATCTGCTACTCAATTCATTCAACGCGTAGCATGCTCTCCCCGACACCATGGATCTTTCCTGACGTCGACCCCCAGCGGTCTGGACTTATTCCCAGGGGCCGATTTTCATCCTGAACCGTTTTTGACGGCTCTGCCGAAACTGGCGAAAAACCTGCCGCCATGACTTTTTCATGGCCCACGAGGGGGTCGACTGCAGAATGCATTTTCCCCAGAGTTGATTTGTTCGTCGAACATACAAGAAAATACGCAGAATGTCCGGCAGATCTTCAAAAGTTCCGCGCATGCGTTCCAGATCCAACAACAAATCCGATCTTAGGGAAAACAACTCTGTAGTCGATCCCCTACTTGAGAGGGTGTCTGGACTTGCGTTGTTCCCATCTCACTTAAGGAGCACATCCCAGAAACAAGATCGGGCTCCCACAGAAGTATCAAAACGATGTCTGCACGACATGTTGGCGAGGTGCAGAACGAATACTTGCTCCCAGGGCCCGACACGTAAAATCCCCCCTCCGATTAGAGGCCTCCTAGATGGGGTCCGAGTGGATGGGGTCGGAGGGTCGCGTGGCATCGCCCATGCATCGCCGATGCAGCAACGACGCAGCGGAGATGCATCGGCGACGTCGGCGACGTATCGGCGCCGTCGGCGTGGGGAAACACGGTCCCCACATCGAGCCGCACCGTCGATACGTCGGCGATGCGGCGCGATCCTCCGACCCCATCTACTCGGGCCCCCATATAGGAGGCCCAGATCCGCCGTTCGGCTTATCAATCTTAGGGTTAAGTCGGGCATGTCCCTTTACAAGAGGAGTATTCAAGAATAGCTGAAAAAATAGCCTGGGGACGCAAATTCGTGCTCTTTTGACTACCCTTGAACAGTTGTTGGCTACTTTGCGCCTTTCTCCCAAAAGTCCCCCGTAGGAGGACATCTCCTTGGCGCTCGAAACACATGCTGGTGGCCTGGGCGAGACCCAGCCGAAACCTCAGTTTTTTGGACGCCCGAAATGGGTACGGAAAAAATGGGTACAATGCCCAACAGCAAATGTTGTCCCAAACCAACAGCGGCCGCTGTTGGGCAGGCGGCCCTCCGTCTCGAATGGACACAGGCCGCGGCGGCGTGGACAGCGAATCCTGTCAGAATGAACAGGAATTGCTGTTGGGCATTGTAGCCATTCTTTCCGTACCCATGTCGTCCGTGCCGACTGAGTTCCCGCCTCCGTCCCCAGCCTCGGCGGCACGGCGCCTGCTCCCCCCCAACCCAACGCGGACCGCACCAGCCCTCTGAGCGCAGGTAGTCAGGGGCGTTTCCTCGTCCAGCCCCCTCTCTTGCCCTTCCAGGAGGGTTCCGCCCGTCCCCTGGTCGGGGCGGGGCGGGGGCGCGATCGGGTGCGGCTTCAGGAGGGCTCGCCGGGCCCACGAGACCCCCAAGAGACCCCCAAGAGTTCTAGTGTTCAGTCGGGCCTGCCCCCCTCCAGGGGGATTTTGGACGACAGATACAAAACAGCCCACAAAAATACCCCAGAATGGCAACACAAATGTTCAAAGCATCTTCCCCAGACCATTGTTTAACTGCTTTTGAGTTTCTTAGGCCTGGGCCCGACCTGCGGCCTCCGCACGCGGCCCAGGGGCTCGCTGGCCCACGGCCGCCCGCCCGGCGCCCCCGCGCGCGCCCACGGCGGGGCCGCCCACGGCGAGGCCCGGCGCCGGGCGCCCCCCGCCCACGGCGCGGCCGCGGAGGAGCCGCCGCCGCTGCCGAGGGAGCTGCTGCTGCTCGACGGGGCGAGCTGCTCGCCTCGGGTGGTGACAGTCGGGCGTTGGCAGAACTGGGTTTAGTGGAACCTGGTTTAGTGATCTGTACCGGGGGCGCCCCCCCGTCCCATTTCCACTAATCGGAACTGCCGTCACCCGAAAGAACACCAGCTATGGCAAACCTGGTCTAGTGATTCTGGCCAAGTCAAAGGCTCCGGGGCCCTACCACTAACCGGATCCCCTGACCCGGGGTCCTGGCCATACCCGAGACAGGAGAGCGAAGACCGACATGCACGGAAAAACGTGGAGGTCCGCGCGGATTTCTCGGATCCGCGCTTTGCCCCTCTGGCGGCGCCTCCGGCGCCGCCCCTGGCGCGCTCCGCGCGCCAGGGAGGTGGGTCCAACGCCGGTCCGAGAAATCCGCGCGGACCTCAGAGTTAAACATTTTTCGTTCCCCTATGATAAACCAGAAACAAGGACCCCTAACCCTTCGGGAGGGAACCTGAGTCAGGAGAGGGCCAAGAGCATCAGGGATGGAAGGTCTTTTCCGCAGACGTATGGAATCAAACCGCCCAGATCCATTACCCTTGGCGAGGGCACTCGAATCGCCGCCTCCTCCTCCTCCTCCTCCTCCTCCTCCTCCTCCTCCTCCTCCCTACTCTCCTACCTCGGCTACGCGCAAGAGTGACCCTAGGCAAGAGTGACCTCCCCGGACCCCTGCGGGTCATGCAAAGATCACATGGCTGTACTATGGTCGGCCCCCTCGGCTACGCGCAAGAGTGACCCTAGGCAAGAGTGACCTCCCCGGACCCATGTGGGTCATGCAAAGACCACATGGCTGTACTATGTTCGGCCCCTGGGGGCCCTTGCCGGCCCTCGGGACCGTCAAAAAACAACCCAGGATGAATGGGGGATGCGTCGAGACCTCTGGGGGTCGACGTTATGAACAAATCATGACGTCGGGGGTCTGGGTTTGGCGCACGGCAAAACGGGGGACGCGGGATGGCCAGACCTGGGCGGGCAAGCCGCTGCCACCGCTTCGCGTTCAGCGATCGGGGACGCCCTTGGGCCCGCACCAAAAGTCACTCCGGCAAGAGGTCACTCCTCGCGGAGGGCGCCCGGAGGAAAAGGTACACGTCGGTCGGAAAAAGTTGGTAAAGACATGAAGTAGGAATGCGGATGAAGTAGCTTAGGTCCAGGCACTCCCAGAGAGATACACGGCACAGCAAAAGCAGATCGATTCTTGAAGTAGGAAGGTGCTTGAATCATATTGAGATCCTAATGTACGGTCGGACCTAGCGCAGAAGAACATCCTTCAAGAACATGAGACCATCCGCCGGCCAAAACACACAGAACATCCCAGGGTACCCCCCCAGGATGCACAGGAGCGTCCAACGAGCACGAGGAACAATAGGGTATCCTCCCCAAGCTGACCTCGGCCTTATGCCTCGGTCCGACCGTACAGTCGAAATCTACGATATAAGGACGGGCAGTAAGGTTAAGTCGGGCCTGTCCCCCTACAGGGGGATTTTCGACGAAAAACTGGAAAAAAACACCAGAAATAATCCAAAAATAATCCAAAAATAGTCTGGGGATCATTTTTATGTTATTTTTTACCATGTTGAAGCATTTTGGGGGCGTTTGCTTTTTATTTTTCGTCGAAAATCCCTCTGTAGGGGGACAGGCCCGACCTAACAGTAAGGGCGCAAGGGCCCAGGGCGCCCAAGTTGGCACATTTTGGGCAGCGGACTGCCATCATCCTGAAGATCTGGCCAGGGAGAACAGGGAAAGGCAGGCCGCAGAGACAAGGACGCAAGGTACCCTAAGGACATCCGTGCATCTTTACTATGAGTTTTGACTGTGCTGACCCTGAGATCCTGGCGTTGCAATTTTCGAGAACGGACGATTTCGCCCTGTTTCGGGCACAGGGCCCCTCACAGATCGATCTTGCTCGAGAAATCACGCAGAAACATGGGCTCCGGGGCTCAGGTTGTGATTTTGTTGCGAAATTGCCTTTTTGTTGCAACGTCGGATCTCAGAGGGTACCGCTACGCTTGCCTCGGTTTCCGCTGTGTGGGCCTCCTGGGAGGCCCTCGTCGCCACCGCTGGATTCGCCTCGAGATTCTGGTCAGAACGCACCCCAAGAGAGGTCACGGGAGTAGCGGTATCGGTACTATCGATACCTTTGGCTTTCCACAGGTGCAGGTATTTCCGAGGACCTCTGAGCCTCGCTGCCCTGATACGCAGCACGCAGCACCTAACGTATTGATACGGGGCTCTCAGCACGTAGAATGACAACGTAGGTATGACGCAATACGTTCACCAAAACGTGGGCCAACACTAGAGATCTCCTAGATGTATGATGTTCCAACCTGCTTTAGCCTTGATCGCCAAAAAGAATGTCAAGCGCCAAGAAAGTACTGGAACTGGAGGGATCTCACGTGTCGGGCCCTGGGAGGCGATACTCGTTCGACACTGTTTTGGTACTCTTCTGGGTGCTCGAGATTCTTTCTGCGATGTGATCATGAAGTACGATGGGAACGGCATACTCCTAGATGGGGTCCGAGCAGGTGGGGTCGGAGGTTCGCACTGCATCGCCGATGCATCGGCGGTGCATCGGCGGTGCCTCGGCGACGTCGGCGTGGGGAGGCGCGGGCTCCACAGGGCTTGACCTGAACGTTGTCTTTCGTTTTGGTTTCGTTTTGTTTTTCGTTTTGCTCTACCTGTCTTCCCTGTCTACCTGTTTGCCCTCCCAAAGCGAAAAACAAACCGCATCCGAAGTCCAGCAAAACAGCGTTCAGGTCCAGCCCTGGGGCTCCACATCGAACCGCATCGTCGATGCGTCGGCGATGCGGCGCGATCCGCCGGCCCCATCTGCTCGGGCCCCATCTCGGAGGCGTGAAGATACGCGGAGCCAAATCGCAACGTGTTGACACGGACGTGTTGAGAGCATGGCAGGCGCCGCGTTTCAAAGCGGGCGCATTGAGGCATCAGGTCGGGCATGTCCCCCTGCAGGCGGATTTTGGACGAAAAAAATCAGAATCAAAACACATGCTAAGACGTGCTCAACAATGGCCAGGAGTAGTCCAAACATCGCCCCCAGACTCTATTCTTGACTGGCTTTGAGCATTCCTCCTGTAGGAGGGACAGGCCCGATGGAGTCGCGGCTGCCGAACTCTGGGTGTCGTCCGCCCGGGTACCTGCTCTTGGGCACGTCGGCCTCTCCTGTGCCCGTGGGTCCTCGGCGACGGCTCCGGGGGCGAGAAAGGCTGCCCTGGCGAGAGGGGTGCAGCCGGACCTGAGCTCAGGCCCGGGCGTGTCCTCCCACGGGCGCATTTCTGACAAAAAAAACACGGGCCAACAAAGCACGTCCAAAAATGTTCAACAAGACTGCAAACATCGTCCCCCGACTATTTTTGATTTGTTTTGAATATTCTTCTGTGGAGGGACACGCCCGACTTAAGCCTAAGCCAGAAGAACATCCCTCAAGAAAACTAGATGAATCAAAAACGGCGTAAGCAGAAACTTTCGATGATCCGCGCGGATTTCTTGGATCCGCGCTGGGCCCCCCTCTCTGGCGCGCGGAGCGCCAAACGTTTATGTGTATGCGGTTTTTTCCTTTTCGAAGTATGAGACCCTCCGTCGACCAAAACAAACATCTAAAGGGTACCATCCTCAGGATGCACAAGAACATCCAACAAGCACGAAGAACACTATAGGGTACCATCTGCGAACCGGTCTCGATCTTGTAACTCGGTACGTCCAGGTGCGGACGGACCGAGTTACAAGATCGAGACCTGTTGACCTTGCTGGAGGTCCGCGCGACCTGTTGGGTCGGCGATGGACCCCCTCCTTCCCCGCTCCACCAGGCGGCAAGCGCTCCGCGCGCCGGGGTAAGGTGCGCCTGTGGAGAAGGGGGCTCAGCGCCGACCCACGAGGTCCGCAAGGACCTCCGGCACGTTTTCGGAGGGAGAGGAGGGGGAGGGGGAGGTGGAGGAGGAGGAGGAGGAGGAGGAGGAGGAGGGGAGGAGGAGGAGAGGAGGAGGAGGAGGAGGAGGAGGAGGGAGAGGAGAGGAGGAAGAGGAGGAGGAGGCACAGGCTGGCTCTTCGAGCTCCGACGCTCGCCGGCTCTGCGCACGACGGCTCCCGGGCAGCTCGCCCAGGCCTGCTCGTCGCGGGCGCCGTCGCCGCTCGCGCTCGCGGCCCGGGCGCCCAGGGAGGACTGCGTCGGGGCGGAGGTCCTCGCGCCCGCGAGGGAGCTGCCCAGAGGCTGCTCGGGCAGCGCCGAGCTGAGCTCGGAGCCGCTCCGGCAGGGCGAGGTGGAGCAGCTGCTCGGGCTGGAGCTGCCGCCCGCGGGCGTGCACCCGCGCGGGGGCCCGCTCGCGCCCCCCCGCGCGGGGGCGGCGGCGCAGCGCGGCCGCCGGAGGAGCCACGGGTGCCGCAGGCACTCGTGCGCGGTGGGGCGCCGCTCCGGCTGGACCTCCAGGAGCTTCGCCAGCAGGTCCCTCGCGCCTGGTGGGAACCTGCGCATGGCCTCTGCGTTCACAGAGGTGTGCACGTTCTTCATGAGGACCTCCTTGAGGTGCCTGCCTTGGAAGGGCCCGTGGCCCGCCAGGCACGTGTAGAGCAACACCCCGGCGCTGAAGCAGTCCACCTGGGTCGTTTGCGGGGGGGACTGCTGGGTCAGCACCTCGGGCGCGATGTAGCCGATGCTCCCGACCCTTGCGACGGCCGCCCGCGTGTCCCAGACAAAAGAGGCAAGCCCGAAGTCCACCAGCCTCACCTGGTTTGCGCTGCTGGTTAAGAGCACGTTCTCGGGTTTGATGTCGCGGTGCATAATGCCACGCTTGTGCAGACTGGCTAGGCCAGCGAACACCTGCTGCATCATCTTCCTAGCGGCGTCCTCTGACACGGGCCCGTGCTGCTTCATGAATGCGAACAGATCGCCGCCGGGTAGGTACTCGGTCACGAGGGCGAAGGCGCTGTTAGCCTGGATCTCGTCGTCGTCGTCCTCGTCGGGCTCGGACAAGCCCAGATCGTCCAATTCATCCGCGGACAACTCGTAGACAGCCTTGAAATGAGCAAACAAAGGATCCTCGGCCCACCGCAGCATCGCCGCCTCCCGCAGCGGGTGGAAGTGTTCCTGCCTGGCCCCCGCCGTGCGGAAGAACGCCTTCACGGCGACCTCCTCGCCCTTCCACGTGTCGTGGGCGAGGTACACCCGGCCGAAGCCCCCGCGGCCGGCCTGCTTGCGCACCGTGTACCTATAGTTAGGTCGGGCATGTCCCACGACAGGCGGATTTTAGGCGAAAGCTAAAACATTGTCATACAAATACAAAAACAATCAAACATAATCAAAAAATCGTCCCCTAGACGATTGTTTGCCTATTTTTGAAATTTCCTCCTCAGAAGGACAGGCCCGACTTAAACTTATAGCATGGGGGACGCGGGTCCTGAAGGAAGCGGGCCCTGGACCTGCCATGGCCACTGCTCATCCCGAGCCGTTCCCTGACAGCGCCTGGGCCCGTGGAGGGCCCAAAGGGTGCATGGTTTCCCCCGGGGCTGTAAGCGACCCGAGGGGGAGGAGGCGGAGGAGGAGGAGGAGGAGAAGGGGGAAGGGGAAGGGGAGGAGAAGATGGAGGAGGAGGAGGAGGAAGAGGAGGAGGGAGACTGACTGACTGATTGAATCTGCACCGATGCCAAGTTCCGATCCCGCCAACTCGCTTGCACCGCAGAGCCTGGAACTGTCAAGCACAGTCTAGAAGACAGCACGAACACCAGGGGGCAATAAACACTCGTGGGTACGCAAGGCCGCGTCGGCCCTGCACGACGTGCCGACCTGGCACGGCAGGGCTGACAATGCACGGGGTTCATGTTAAGATAATGTGCGGCCCCCGGCTTCCTTCTGCAAAATTATCCAGCGAAGCGCTGCTAATCGCTGCTCCCAGGAGGTCTCTGAGGAGGGAGGACAGGGAGGAGGACGAGGCTCAAGAGGGGGCGACGTAGGGATAATGGGTCCCCTGCTAGACCTGCTGTCTGGCCTATGTCTACTACTCTGGCTGTCAGTCTGAACTGTTGCTGACCTAGACGACTGGGCTGCTACTGCCTTCGTCTGATCGAGCGTGCCAGGCCGCCGACTGGTGCCTTGCCTGGCATCTTGGTCATCCATGCTGCCCTAATGGCGAGAGAAGGGAACCTGGCTACGGTGACGTGCGCGTACGTGTTGGCGAAGTCGGGATCCAAGGGGTGTGGCGATGGTGTCCAACTCGTCCTCCTCTGCGATGGTCCTTCCCGCTGGCCAATGTTCCTCCACCGCGAAGTTGATCCTGCTGAATGGCTGGACCCCCGTCTTGGCATGGTAAGCGCCCGCACAGCATGAATGGCAGAAGTCTTCAATCTCTGAGGGCATGCTGTCTACCACTGCTACCTTGTGAAGCCTGCCCGCTGCTCTGAACATCACTTTGATCTCATCTGGCTTGCCGTCCGCGCTGGTGCCCTTGAGGCACTCGAGAAGACTTGCGAGCACGCGCGAGCGAGGGCTGCCTTGTTGATTGACTTGTTCGTCGTAGAGGGCGGTGGCCTTTTTTCATGTTCACAGGCACAGGGTGGCCCGCGGGGGAACTGAAGTGAACGTCGTTGGCCCGCTCTCTTCCATCCTCGCTTCGAGCTGGAGTATCAATTCTTCTCGAGACGGGCCGCGTCCGGTCTCTCCTTTTTTCTGCGATGACTGGCATCCGCTGGCACCGACAGCTCTTGCGCCTGAACAGCTTGCAGCCGTGTCGGCATCGAAAGTAAGAGCGTGCGCGTCCAGATACTTGGCCTAGCGAATGTCAACAGAATGTCGATCGAGTAGCACAAGCGATGGAGCAGAAAAGCTACAGCGCGCGCATTGGGCGCACTTGTGCCCCGCGCGCTCAGGATTTCTAACGCTGAAGTCTGTCGCGCACCTTGAGTGTCCAATGGCTGCGGCAAGGTGAAATTTCGCCGTCTCTCCGTCTGCAAACGCTCCGCGGCAAAGCAGGCAGCAGCTAGACAGCGCGACGACATGGGGCGCCCGATCCGCCGTGCAAGCAGATTCTAGCAGGGAGCCTCGTCAGTGCATACCCTAGCACAAGCTCGATTCACATGGGCCACTAGGGCCGTCTGCGATTGAAAACTTGCGTGGCGCACTTCATAACCGCGCAGAACAGATCCCCCCTTGGCGGGGGCGGCAGGTTGTTCGACCTTGAGCAGCCCTGGCCTTTGTGGCGAGATCGCTGCGGACAGCTCTTTGGGCCTGAGCTGCGCGGCAGCGGTTTTCAGGGAAACATCTCAGGCTTCACCAAAAAAAAAACCTTGCCCTCAAGTTCTAACTCAAGTCCTTCGCCTTCCCCCGTCTCAAACAGCGCTTGCACGTCGGCCCGGAACTGTTGGGCCCACGCGTGGGCCGCGGGAAGGACCTCGCCATCGCGAGGCTTCAAGGTTGACTGACTCGCGCTGTGCCTGACCTACGAAGGCAGCGATGACCTGGCGATGATCACGTTGTTTCGCAACTATATATTGCAGCCACTCAATCGTCGAATCCTCAGCTCAACGAAGTGGCTGCCGAACTTCATCAGACGCTGGACCTCGCGATTACTGGGTGCTCGTACTTTGCGTTCAGAACGCGCCGCGTGCTTGCCGTGTAAGACCACGCGCGCGCACCAAATATCAGCTGCTGCAGGGGCCCCAGAGATTGCCGCGCGAGGGGCTTCGTCACGTCGTGGACATGCGACTCCGGCCCGGAGAGGGCCGCGTTGATCACTCCCCACAAACGCGGTACCCTTAAATACCATGGCTACCTGAGCTGTTGTCCAGACGCCCCGATCTTGTGCCACGCCGTCTGTGCTGCCTGGACTCAAACATGTTTCTCAACAGAAACCCGATTGTTCTAATGTTGCAGCCCCCCCAAGGCACCTGGCCGCCGACGCTGTTGCGCCATCTCCCCCCAGACTTCCTGCATGGAAAACACGATTGAGATTCGCAGCCAAGGGCGCAGCTCACTGAACCAGGTTGGCTTGTTCGTCTTCATTCTGAGCCCCTCCAACTTTCTCCAACCCCGCATCAAACACTCGATTCTCCCAAGAAGCCACTCTCTGAATGTGATGTTGATCTGCGCCCATGATTTGTCTTGCGACGTCGTCGACTAAGGCGTCGGTGGCCAGGTCGACGGTCCTCGCGACACGCGGGGACTGGATGGCCTGAGGCATCGCCATGTGCAGCGCTCTCTGCCATGGGTCCATATTAAGATTCGACGTCATGAACTCGCCGCCGTACCCATTGGCTGCAATGATCAACTTGGCCGCATGATCACCGGGAAGTGCAACTGACACGTTCGCTACGTGGGCGCTCGTCGATCCATCAGCAGAAAGCATAGACGCACGGTTGTAGATCCCTTGCAGGAACACGCCCCGGTTGCCCCCCTGCACCAGTTTAGCAATGCCACGTTCCACTGCGTCTTTGTGCGCGCGATAGAACGCATTGCGGGCGTCGCGGTACCTCGTAACGCGCGCAACTCCCGCTCTCCTCAATCGTGGCGACCCGCATTGCTGAAACAACATTGCGCCCTCGCGGCGTCGTCGCGCTGCCCTGCCATGAGCCCAACGCTGACACTGCTGATGCTTTCATGAGTGAGCGAAAAAATACCAAACCCGCAGAACACCATGCCCGGTGTCTCGCCTGCCGTGCCCAAGCTGTCATTGCGCTTGGCCAACCTGCAGCGCGACGCCAGATGCCACGCTGCCGGTGCTCTTCCAGCTGAGCGAATACATCTGCGCAGCAAGTAGAGCGCCCTTTCAAACTCAAACTCAGGTGCCTGAATATCCCCACCCCCCTCCTGCAATCCCAGCCCCCCCCCCCCCTCGGCAACGCCAGGGCTCGAAATGCATCTCCTGGTGCCGACCAGCTGGGCTGCGCTCGCCGCGATGGCCATTTCTTGAGCGCCATCCCCAACTTCTCAACTGAGAAAAGCGCGTCCTCATGGATCGCGCCTTAGCCAAAAATCCTCATTCTCATGGGGGTTGATCCATTCCAGATGCGACGGCCTGCGGCGAGCACCTGGCGGCGGGCCTGCTGCGTCGGCGCATGGGGGGCCGCCAAAAACCCGCAGTAAACTCTGGCCCTTCACCTCGCGCAAGCAAATGCGCCTCAGCCCCCCCGCCCGCCCCAGCCGACTGAAACGGTTCAATCCATTCCGCTGCTGCGGCCCTCGCAGTTGGCACTTTGCCGCGCGTCGCCCCCCCCGCCCCCCCCCCCCCCGGGGCCGCGACGCGTTCCAGCTAGCGAGCGTGATATCTTACGTGCGCCATGAAATCTCCTCGCCTTCCAAGCACCCCATAACCCCTCAACCCTCTTCTCAGCGAGCTTCTGGATGACCTGCTGTCTGTATTCCTTGTGTTGTCGATTCAGTCTGCGCTCTTCAATGTTGCACTCCTCGGGCAGTGAGTTTCGTCCTCTTTGGTCTGCCGCCTCGCTGCCAACTGTGCTCTCAACTGCCTGCTCTGAGCCAGTGTGTCCTCCTTCTTCTAAACGTACCCTGGTGCCTCCGCCAACTGCCCTGCTGCAACCTCTTGTGCGATCTGCATGATGCCCGCGTTAATCTGATCCACATCTCCTGCATGCGCCCACCCCTCGAAGGTTGTTCGATGCGCTGCCAATCGTTCTTCCGCGTCTGCCACGAACTGTCGCCTTCCAGTGCCGTAAGGTAAGACCACATTGCGCGCCTCCTGATTGTTGCGCAACGTCGCGGGCTTCGTCTGGCACTCAAACGCATGCCAAATCGCCGTGTAGATCGGGAAATGGTCCTTCGGAGCGTTGCATCTGATGTGTTGGAGCCGTCTCTTCTCTGTTTGTTCATGGAAACCAATCACTCATCTATGTCCTGATCCATGTGGCGCGGGCACGCCAGGTAATCTGTCTATCCCACGATCCCATAATAACTCGCACCCGCGTCAAAGTACGTGTTGACCAAAACCAAATCATGTGCCTGGAGCGTCGGCTTGATACTGCGAAAGTTTGGTATGTCTGCCGCTGCAGCGAACGTGCCCGTCACTTGTGGATCTGTCACATCCAAGCCACATTCTGAATTCAGGTCTATACCTATGAATGGTACACACCGTGCTGGAAGCAGGAAGCTGTTCGTGCAGCCACATGGTGAGCTCTACTGAAATGGCCTTCTGCTCAGCCACCGCAGCTTTGCCCTTGCCTCTCGGCGGGTAGTAGAGTGAGAAGATCGCAAGGTTCAAGCGCCCCCTTTGTATCTCACCATCAAAGCTCTGCCCTGGAGTCGTTTCTTCCCCTATGCGATGCGTGCGATATGACATTCGGCATCTCTTCTCCTGTGAAACGCAAAACTACCACTCCACACGAATGATGACTGTCTTTGCTGAAAGCTGCATGCACGAACAGGTGATATGCTGTGGTCTGCCGAGCTGGTTCCCTTCTGTTCCTCACTAGCGCCCTGGAACATGAAGAAGTTTACAGATTTGTACTCTGACGAGCTGCCGTTGACCCTGGCGGGGGCGGAGAGGGTGAGCGGGTTGTACACCATTGCCCGCAAGCATCGCCAACCGCCGCCGCTCCCATCCCTGAGCCCACTCATGCTATCATGGCGAGAGAGCTGGAGGGGACCGATGGGGGTGCTGTCCGCTGAAGCTGCCTGATGTCGCTCGATCGAAAGGGGAGGAGGAGGAGGAGGAGGAGGAGGAGGAGGAGGAGGAGGAGGAGGAGGAGGAGGAGGAGAGGAGGAGGAGGAGGAGGAGGAGGAGGAGGAGGAGGAGGAGGAGGAGCCCTTCGGAGAAGCCCTCCACCAGAGGGCCCCGAGAGCCCGAAGACTGCACAAAACCTGAAGACCCGTGCCCCTCAGGACCCGCATCCCTCATGGCGAGTACCCCCAAACCCCCGACATCATCTTTTCTCAAAGCGCCGACCCCCAGAGGTCTCGACCCGTTTCCTGGGACCGCTCTGAGCCTGAGCCGGCAAGGGCCCCCAGGAGGCCAAACATCGTGCAAAAACGCCCCGCCATGATTTTCTTCATGACCCGCGGGGGGGGCTGGGCCTGTCGCTGAAGCCCCGCAGCGTGCAGCCCGCCCCGGAGAGCTGGTCCAGGAGCTGCCGCGCGCTGCGCTCGCTGCCGCACTCGAAGGCCATCGCGCCGCCGCCGGCGGCCGCGGCGGGCAGCAGCGGCGCCTCCCGGAAGCGGCCGTGTTCCTCGCCAGGCGAGATCTGCATGCCCTCCAAGCACCCGAGGGCCTCGGGCGTCGCGAGCGCCACGGAGACCACGTGCCTCTCGAGGAGCACGCGGTGGCATGAGCAGCACTGTCGGAGGTCCGCGCGGCCTCCTCGGATCGGCGGCGGGCCCACCTCCCGGGCGCGCGCCGGGGGCTCTGTGCGCCGATCCGAGGGAGCCGTGCGGAGCTCGACAGCTCCAGAGGGCCTGGGCCCGGGCTCGCTCGAGCCCCGCGCGGGCAAGGGGTGGGGCCGGAGGCCACTGCAGTCGTTCAGTCGTCTAGGCCTCCTAGATGGGGTCGGAGTGGATGGGGTCGGAGGATCGCGCCGCATCGCTGATGCATCGGCGATGCATCGGCGATGCGGCTCGATGCGGGGCCCGATTTCCTTCTCGTCGACGTCGCCGATGCATCGCCGACGTCGACGATGCGTCGCCGTTGCATCACCGATGCATCGCCGATGCATCGACGATGCATCGCCGATGTATCGGTGATGCGGCGCGATCCTCCAGCCCCATTCTACTCGGACCCCATCTGGGAGGCCTCCCAGTCGCGCTTTTCTTTTTTCCAGCGCAATTTTGGAGGGGAGGAGGGGGAGCGGACACATCAGCACGATGACACACTCGGCACAGCTCGCCCCACGGTGCCTGGCCCCTGGCGCCTGCGCCGCGGTGGCGAGCAGCAGGGGCGCGCGCAGCCAGAGCTCGAGCTCGCCCGCCGGGGCCCGCGTGGGCGCCCCATCGCCCCGCCGCTGGTAGCAGAGGAGGGCCTCCCCGTCCGCGGCCACGTGCAGGAGGGAGTCGAGGGTCGCCGCACTGCCTGCGCAGAGCCGATCCCCGATTCGCCGGCCCTCCTCCTCCTCCTCCTCCTCCTCCTCCTCCTCCTCCTCCCTCCTCCTCCTCCC